TAACGTCGCCTTCGGAAGCCCATAAGAAGAGAGGAGGCAGGCTTCGGACAGGCCACAGAGAGGCCGCAACAGGCCTGCCAGCTGCCGAGAGAGGCAGGCTTCGGACAGGCCACAGAGAGGCCGCAGCAGGCCTGCCAGCTGGCGAGGCCTCGGACAGGCCTTTGCAAGTGCTTGGAAGGGCTTGGCCAACTGCTTCACCCTGCGGTGTCCCAGGCGCCTCCCCGCCTAGGCTTTGGCTATAGGCCGGGGTCGGCGGATTTAGTACTTTTCTTGCATTCCCTTGCAACTTGTAAGAGGTGTGACTCAAAGCAGGAAAAAAACAGTCGTTCCAGTCGTTCCATACCCAGAAGGACCTGAGGAGAACAGAACGCAGATGAAACTTGCCAGGAGATCTCTAAGATTCCTGGACCTGACAAGTCTGCCTTGGAAAGATACATGTGCTGAACATTTGGAACTCGGAAGACCTTTATAATAAGCATGAATAAGCCAATCTCAGCGCGCAAGCGCGCTCTCGCGCGCGAGAAGCCGTCCTAGCTGTTACGCTGCTCTCTCCAAGGAAGCCCGAAGCCTCATGAAGTCCTGGAGGAGCATCGATGGATCCGGACACATTGGGGAGATGTCCTCAGCGACGTTAAGGAAGAAAAAAGGAGAGACGGACTGCGTCACGCTCCGGGCGACGGGGCGACGTGTCGCTCCGCTGGTTGACACGCGGATCCGGGTTTGGGGCTAAGCAGAGGTTTTTGACAAGACAGGCATAATGAATGACTATAGATGATGGAGATATATGGTTTTGGAGTTATTCTTGATCAATTGGTGGAGTCAGAAACCCTTGCTTGCTTGTTCGGTCTGATTGGGAGGAGTCCGATGCCTTTTGTGCTCTTTGCAGACGTCTTCTGGCCATTTTGAACACAATGGGAAAGGACTAGCAATTTTCAACAAAACCCAGCAAAATCATTTATATGAGATCCACTGCTGGTAGTACTGGAGAGCTACTGCATCTCGCGTGCAGGGATGATAGGTCTTCTCTCAGTCGAGTCCACCTGCCGGTTTTGATGCACGAAAACCCTGTCCTTGGAGTGATGTCGGAGACATGTGGAGATGGCATCTCATCACCTGGGACGCCCCTCTTGGACAGAAGTGGCATCTCGAGAATGAAATACCAACGGGTCGCATGGGCTGAACCTAGACATCCGATGGGCTCCCCAGAACCATCCAGAACCTAACGGGAATATCATTTCTAATTCCGGAGTATAACAACGACATCACCGAGACCTATTGGCACCTTTGCTGAAAAGACATACTTGATGACCTCAAAGGTTTGGGTCCAGCCTGCAAGTCCGCAGCCGTGCCCCACCCCACGGCTGAGGCAAATTCTACGTGGGTGGAAGGCGCTGGTTGTTCTTTCTTCGGCGCTACCGGCTGCGTCATGACATGGAAGTGGAGGTTTCAGAACAGCCCCCCCTAGAAACGTGGGCAGGAAAGTGGTCTTCCGAACTCGGGACGGTCCACCATCCACATGTTGCACGTGTGATGTGTTCATCAGATCCAAGAGAGGTCAAGTGACCTTAACCCTTCTGAGGTACCCAACTGGGATAGTCTAGTTCGGATCCTTCAACCTCTGTTGGGAATTCATCCTGGATCCCTTTTATTCGGTCTGAAACGGTCACCAACTCTGTCTCGACTGTGCAAGTGGATCGATGGTGCAAGGGATAACGCCCCTCTGCCGGAGCATGGCCATGGAGCAAACCACACAGTGGCCACAGGTTGGGAGCATTCCACCCTCAGTTGGTTGGACATATCTACCGTAGTTAGAAGGAATCACTCATTCAGGTGGCCCTTCCTGGGGGATCATTCCACCTGACTTATCTACCGTACTTAGAATAGAAGGAACTCGGAACACTCATTCAGGTGGTTCTTTTGTGGGGTATCTGCTCCTCGCCAGGATCCACGGCATTCAGCTGCCCAAGTTCGGCTACACCACGCAGACCCCTGCGGAGGAGGGGTTTCCCCGATGGGACGTGGAAACTGCCGTTGACAGCTGGTTTCAAGTGGATCCACTTTCTGGATCCTTTTAAGGATCTATAAGGCATCACCCTGAAAGGGATGACCCTATAAATTCGTGTTTGAACATGCTGAACATCAGAAGAGGGGTGATCATCTGATAGTGTAAGAATGAGAAGCATCAGCAACACAAAGGACTTGTGTGACTCTCCAACTCCTCCTGGTGCCTTAAAGGATCGGACTCTCCATGGCCCATGGCGGTGACGGTGGCAGTGCTGCTGATTCTGTCCATGCCAACACTCAAAGTAAATGATCAAAGGGTGACGGGCAGCGACTATAGGCATATCATAGGCGATCATCGGCTTTGAAGTTGCTGTCCCCCAAACGCAGCTTCTCTTGTTTTGAACCACACCCATGTCCGGTTGTCACAGTCCCTCTTGACCCTTTTTGCTTGGAATTTGCTTCCACCATGTGCACCAGTGACCCTACGAGGTGCGCGCCACCCTCCCCGAGAACAAGCAGGTTGCTGGAGCCTCAAGAACTCATCGGCATTGGTCAAGCACACCGAAGCTACAGGCTCTGAAGAGCTCCAGGGATGTTGGGTGAGATCTTTTCAAGACATATGACATAAGGATGTCATAGGCATCGGCGTGATGTTTCTTTTGCAAGAAGCCATCCACATCCATCCACAGCTAAACCGGCAGCCCTCACACCGGCTGTGTCTTTTTGGACCGCAGACCCCCAGCCGTTGGTGCGAAAACCATTTGACTCGTGCTGCCTAAGGTGGCTTTCCAGAACCGAAACCCCATCCACCGCGCCCACTTCGAGCTCTTGATTTGCGCCCCTCGGATCTTGTTTAGGCATCAACAAAGCCAGAGAGCAGGATGAAAACGTGGGGTGGATCTTTTCGGCTTGGGGTTTTGTTTTTGACTTCCAGAACTGGTTGACCCTTGAAAGGTGGCCTTTGGCGCTCTGAGCTGGTGTAACAGCAGTGTAACAAGTGGGCTTGCCGCTTGGCATGGGCCTCCTAGTCAGCCAAGTTTCAGCTCACGAACAAGTTGTCCATTCAGCTTCTTAAGCTTCTGAAAAACGAACAGATGGAGGGCGAAATATCTGCGCATCAGTCATTTGGCGTCTTGTGAAACCGTCATGGAACCTCCGTCTTACTTGGTGGTTGGGCAATCTTGCCCACCTGGAGCGAAGGTCTAACGGTCTGGCTGTGAAAACGAGGACGGTGGAGGAACGAATCGGACCAGACGTTTTGCACGGACGTTTAGGAAGGATCATTTCCTTTACTGGTCCCCAAATAGATAGAACGTGTCCAATACATTCTTAGGATCTACTTTTCTATCTAATTGGGGGTCATATTTGTGTCTTTCCGCTTTGGAAAAAACGGCGTATACTGTATATATAGCAAGTCCGGCTTTCAACTGGCCCAACTTCTGGGGTCTTAAGACCAGACTTATGCCATCAACCTATGGAAACATGGAAGACTCAAAAGAGCTCCGAGCCCAGCACGTGTGGCGTATGTGCACGCATACCTGCCGCATAATACGTGGGCACCCAAAAAAGACCGCATACGACCACCTTTGCTGCATCTCTACCGAACGTGGGCGCATAAGACCGCGTACGACCATCGGATCGTCGAGGCCCAGAAGGATGTGAAGGACTCCATTCTGCCTCGGCCTCGGTCGACACGGACGAGCCGTCGGGGAGACGTTCGGCAGCCGTTGGGGAGTGACGTGACGGGAAACAGTTCAGTTCCGGCTTTGGTGGAAGGAGGGCTTCGGACGGTAGGGAAACGTGTGGGCACAAGCAGATGGAAACAACAATGTATAAGCAGCATCTCTGACGTTCACTTTCCTCCCTATGACTCACTATGATCATTATGATCATGCAAAGAACAGGAACAACATGTTAGACACACATATACAGTATAGACTATAGACACCCTCTCCCAAAGATCCTCCGGACAAAAACCAGACGAAACAGCCTTTGTTTCCTTTTCTCTCCTTGTGCCGCCCAACCCACCGGCTGCGCCTGAACCTGCTGCGCCGAACCTCCGGCGAAGCCGCTGAGCCAGAGGTTGGTGCACCCCACCTGCGGCCCCACCCAGCCGGGTGACATCGATGGCTTGGTCCGAATCCAGACCTACGAGGCGTTCGTGGACCGTTCGGCCGACCGTTCGGGCGAGCGAGCGTATGGGGTCTTGGGGCCGATGGATGGGGGTCGGAAGGGTTGGAAGGTGGCGAAAGGGGGGAAAGGGGGGCCGAGGTTTGGCACCGGTGGAAGCGGATTTGAATGGATTTTTATACTCTTTTGGTGGCATTAGACCCCCTGACATCAGGGTGAAGTGGATGGGATGGGATAATCCCGAAGACTCGGAGAAAACCATGTTCCTCAGTCCCCAAACAGGTGCTACCATCATGTGCCATCCACTTCCCTGATGACTTCAGGGAGCGTGTAAACAGAGCTGCGGCAGTTTTGGCCGAATTGATCGGGGACACTTCTGTGCAGATGTTGCAGAAGTGAAATGGGAGGACCTGCAGAGGGGCATCAGTAATCCTTAGTATACGAAGATACATTTTTGATGAAGGCAGCCATCCTTGGGCCTTCGCTCAAACCCCAGACTGAGAACGTCCAAATGGCAAGGCTCTGAAGGATGAGACCAAGCAGGAGTACCCCATGTTCAGGTGGGCCTACTTGTACGAAGCTCAGACTGTGTTGGACAGAAGTTGACGAACAGCCAAATACGCCAAGGCTTTGCCCTGATTATGAGCGCCCAGATGAAAGATGTACTAGATACATACATTCAACATAGATTCAACAGTTGTAGGTTCAGGATACTTTAAGTTTAATGTTTTTGACCACTTATCAACTTATCCTTATACCATCATACGTTTTGGAGCTCCTTCCAGCGCTGATGAGTTGTCCTTTGCAAAGCCGAGAAAAGGGCTCCTGGATTCATGTATTTCCCAGAGTTTCCCAACAAAGATAGTGCCAACGAATGGTGGTGAAACATGGCCATGGCGAACTGTGTTACCAATAGAGGTCTGCACAGCCTGTGATCTATTGTGTTCCGAGGCCTTACAGCATGAAGATGGCTTGGGGATCTCAGATCGACGATTCGAGAGGGACGGCTGGAAGAGGCGACCGTTGTATATCTTAGTATCAGGATGCTTCTATGACCACCCTAAGAATCCGGGTCCTCAAACACATAGGGCTTTGAGGGCCCAGACCCCTATGGAGGTTCCCCCTGCCATGGAGGGCCGGCAGTAAGAATTCAGAGACCTAGTGACCTACTGCAGTTGGGTCTCTGACTTTAGGTCGAAGGGATGAATCCTCACGAAGAACGAACACGGAGTCTTCCAGCATGACTGCAGCTCCCAGCATGACTAACAGATACTCACCTGCAGGTTTGGATCTGAGAAACAGAAGTTCCACGGACCCAATGGTCTTCGGGTGTTTGTTTTGCTTTTACCCAGCAAGGCAGCCTCTTGCAGCCTCTTCGCTCTCAGGCTGGCCCCAGGGAAGCCATTCAGCACATGATCATCCGAAAGTGGGGAGTCCAAGACGTCCCATGTGAGTCCCGTGCAACAACGGACAGCGCATTGAGGTGGAACGATGGATGGAAATGGTCCGTTCCGTCTGAGTTAGTCCAATTGGTAGCATAGTCTTCCAGTCAACCTCTGGGGAAGATACAGACAGTAACGACCAT